TGTTAATTCAGGAAAGAAAATTTGAAGGGATAAGAACCCTACATCCGCTGAGGAAAGAAGACTAAACAAAAATATTCTGTGGTCTCGCTTTCTCAGAGGTTATTTACAGGATTCTCAGATTTTATCCCAGAATTTTACCTAAGGAAGAGAAGTTTTACCTTTATAATTTTCTTGCCACCCAAATTGTCCTTAATGTAAATCAGTGACCTCAAAACACATGTTGAGAAATACCATTTATACTATTGAAGTGCATCTTTGAATGACTATAATTTTCTAATGCAAATTATTATCATATTCTTGTGTTGAAGATAAACAGTACTTTGGACTGGGTACAGATTAAATAAATCTAATTCCTCTTATTTTTTTTCTATACTAATTTTGTAGTTTTAGAAGTATATGTGTTTATGCATGGAAGTGAAGGGGAGAGAGAGAGAGATAATAGACAAGAACAGTAGATTTATTTGTGTTTCTTAGGAAGTAGAGACTACTTTGTTCAATCCTGTTGTCAGTGATTAGCTCTGTGTTTCATATATAGAAAGTGCTCGATAAATGATTTTTGAATTAATACATGGGGAGAAAGAAAATGCTAAGAAAATATCTGTATAGCAGAAAGGAGCCAGCTCAAAAGTAGTGTGTGCAGATAGTAAGCAGAGAGCTTAAAACTTACTTATGGTTGTCAACACTCCTTTAGTTAGGAGGGCTCCATGTGGAATTACTGGTAGCCATTTTTATTCAGAACTTCTAATTTTAGCTGGAGAAAGCAGCAAAATCAGAAGAGCCAACTGATCCTCAGTCAGAGAGCCATGACATGACCTTCATGTTAGAGCTGCAAGGAACCATAGAGATGTGCTAGTACAGGGTCCTCACTTTCCAGGTGAAGGAAACGAATGATTTCCCCAAGCACTTGGTGGTAACAAAGTTTACTGATACTCAAACTTGTGTTTCCTAATTCTGGTCCAATTCATTTTATATTGTACCATGTTGCCTCTGTCTTGGCACACTCTCCCCTGAGGGTTTCCATATATCTACAGTGGTTTCTCATCTTTTGCCCAAGACAGAGCAATGGAATATCTACCAATGCCTCTGATTAGAATCTTCTCACCTTGTCTGGCATTTTCCTTAGAGCCTAAGAGGCCTCAATAAAGAGATTCTTCCTTTGACTCTTAAATTCACTTTTTTAGAATCAAGAAATAATCTATATTAAATGATTATTAACCATAAAAAGCTCATCCAAACTACTTTAGCTCCTTTCAAATGATTATCAGTTGGAGCTAAAAGGAATGAAGAATAAAGAACCATTATAATTTGATTGGAGGAAGAAAAGGAAGAACTCTGTCTTGAGGTGTTAGCTAGGGCAAGGCAAGGTCAAATGGTTGTGATGGGCAGAGGGCAGGGGGATCTAGATTACCCAGGAGGTCACTGAAAGATGTGAGTATCAGAGAAGAGGGGAGGGAAGAAGAGGTGAAGGGATAGAAAGAAGAGGTAAAAGGAGGAGGGTGCTGCAGGTAGACTTCATCATTTGGTTTTTGGCTCATTTTTTACTGTATTTGTAACCCTTGGGCTCAATGGAGAAGGAAACCTCGGATTCAGGTCATTTGTGTCCTTGTGATAATTTATATTGCTACTGTCAAGCAATAGCTAGGATTCCTTGAATCAAGTGTTAACGACATCCATGAAAGAAGAAATAAAGCATTTAATAGGTAAATATCTTCCCTTTCCAGCCTAAAGAATGGAGGAAGTGTTGATGGGCTGTTGATGGTGAGCTAAACTGGCATACCAGGAATTTTTATAAATGGTTTTCCCATGCTCCATTGAATCTGTGGCTGAGACTTTAGTTGTATACCAGCTGTGCGTGCAAAATCTCATAATTATTCTTACTGTATTAAGCATTTTATAGCAATTTTAGCTCTAAAATGCTATGCAATAGTTTTTATGCAAGTGTACCAGACATGTAAGCTGTTCCAATGAAAACATTTCCTTTCATTTAGACACGTGGTTTTAGGTTTCCAAACTTAGCTCTTTGCATTGATGGAAGAATCTTTAGGCCAGACATCAGGGTTTTTGGTGGGTAGTTGGATTTTCTTGCACATACTTTATTTCTTCAAGCAGCCTCATCAGAAAAGGGGCATTTCAGTGAGTATACAATTGTTATTTTAGTGAATACTGATGCTGAGTACTAGCTCCTCCACAGCCTGTCCTGTTGAGAAAGGCACTGGAGAGGAAGCTAGGGTTATCTCGGCATCCCTCTGGGGTGTAATGACAAGCAGGCAGAAGGACTTGGACTTAACCTCTCTGCAGAAGGCTGACACCTTTAACACCGCCACACATGCTGCTGCGCCCTGCAGTGGCAAGTCTTGGGCCTGAGCCCAAAGCTGGTGTGGAGTTTGAACCCTTGGCATTCTGGCCCAGGGCCAAGTGCTATCAATGGAACCCCACTGACACCTTTAGTTATTCTTCCTAGATTAGGATAGTAATTTACTTGTCTCTTTGATTTCAAGTGTCTGGTTTTGTTTCCAGATGCCTCCCAGCTCATCTGTATTCCAGGGGTTTCAAAAGACTTTAACCTCATTGGTTCTTTCCTTTGTCAGTTCCATTTGGTGAACACAGGAGGGATACAGAGACTATAGAGAGGCGAGGGAGGGGGCTGTGTGCGCGTGATGTAGGGAGCATGTGGGGAGGGCTTGGTGAGACTGCAGGAATAAATGAAAGGCATATTCAGTTTCAGAACATCAGCTATTGTACCAGAGCAAGTCAGGGTGGAGTATAAGAGGTGATGTGTAGGACAATGTAGTGAAAAGTGTCATTAGATGGATTCATGTGTAAAAGCCCTCCAAACAGCAGTAATCTCAAACTCCCGCAAACGACTGCAATATATGAAAGAGATGGAGAGACCATAGAAATTTTATCCCAATGCCAATAAGGTAACAGCACTTGGATTTTAACATGCTATCGTAGGAAAAGGCATTTATGCAGGGGTGTCATTTCATGTTTACAAGGGCCTGTCTAGCACTGTTTATTGATTTTACTGCAATTCTTTCCCCAGGACCCTGTAGATAGATAATTGCTAGAAATGTCCATCATTAGCAGAGCAACGAGTACAACCATCACACCAGGAAAAAGATACACATAGGACCCTGCAAGCAGGCATCAAATGGGGGTAAGAGTCACACAATAACACGTGCAGCTATAACTCCAGGCAAACACACACACACAACACCCTGTGTAGCCGTTGCACTGAGAAAATACACACAGCCCCCTGTGCAGCCATCACACATCAGGAAAATACACACATGACACCCCTATGCAACCATCACACCAGGCAAAAGCACAGACATAAAATGCTAAGTCAATAGGAATGAACAGCTCATAAAAGCCTACTGGAATAGATCACATCACAGCCAGGTACATCTGTTCTCAGCACTAACCATTATCGTTAGCTTAAAATGCTTAAAATCACTGCGCATCCTCAGGTCTAGGGACAGATTATTCCAAGAAGATTCTACTAAATAGATTTGGCAATGCAGTGAAGGGGACCTCTACTACATTAAAGTGATGCATTTTGCATCTCAAAGGCTGTCAACTGTATTTAGAGGAACTATGTGATTGAAGAACAATGCTCTAGGATAGAATAGCAATTTTTTCCAGCCCTTCTAAATCTGAGGGTGATTTTTACCCCAACTTGAGTTAAGTGTACAATTGAATGGGCAGCTCTCGGTTTGGGAAGTGACTAATAAAAGCAGAATTGGAAACAGCTTTCATCTGTGCTGCAAAGTAAGCTACTCCAACCTGTTTTAAACTGGAACTCTCAGGTGGGATATGATATCCAGAGGTCTTGGTGAGGTCAGACTTCAAGCCATCAACTTGAGATAAATAAGTAGGAGCTACAGTCCTTGCTTCAGAGGGTTGCCTGCCCAACTGGGGGGAATAAAGGAACCACCCACCTCTTCTTTCGCCAGAGCCTTCTCTTTATCCATTTGCCTTGGTCTGTGATGTTATCCTAACTGTGTGACACAGGGGTTACAGCACTGCAAGGGAAGCTCTGTGTGTCCTTCTGAAGAGTGGCCCAAAAAAATAGTTAGAAAGAGTTTCAAGCGTGCAGTTCCATGTTTCAATTACAGTGGCGTTATATGTTTCTACTGAGTGAGACAAGTTTCAAGCTAGCTTGTTAAGAATGATTTACACCATAATTCCAGGAAAAAACAAATGTGAGTGACTGAGATTTGAAAGGGAAGAGTAGGGGGGAAGTGCCAGACTAAACGAATCCTAAGTAAATAGGGTGGGGTGGAGTGGTGGGGTGTTTTTTGTTTTTTTGGGTTTTTGGTGGGGTTGGGTTTTTTTTTTTTTTTTTTTTGGTATTTTTCTGTTTGCTACTTTGCTTTTTTAGAAAAAAAAAAAGAAAGAAAATGTATGTATTGTTGGTAATTACTTCCTCACCTGGGTGGAATGAAGCAAAAGAAAACAGAATTGCTCCATTTGCTCCTTAACCAAAATTTTAAGAGAGGACAGGTGTTTCTCTTAATTCATATGACATCTTACTGGGAATGAGCAGTACTAGAAATGAGAACTAAGAATCCCACTTTTTTTTTTTTCAAATGTAGTGGAAAGGTTTTGCTAGGGAGAGATAAGCATTTTCCATAAAACAATGCAGTAGTGACATGAGGTAATTACATGGTGACTGGGACACACCGCATACTGGAGAAACTGCATGATACCTACGTGATAACTATAGTAACTCTAGTTATCGCTACCGTATTATCTCCTGATAACTATATAATTAGTTTGTGTCACAAAAGCACCCTAAACGTATGCCTGTTCCAGCTACTCTGGTAGGAAAAAAAATAAACTTTTTTTGCAAGGGGGAAAAAAAGCTAATGAAGAAAGTTGCCAAGAACAGATATTTTGTAATCTGTGCTAAATCTCTGCTGGAAAACATGAACAGTAACGAAGCTGAGAAGACAGTAAAAGAAATTCGGGGCAAGGTGCCAGACGCCCAGACGGAAGGAGAATGTGGACCAAAAGATTGCGACAATCGGGTAATTATGGTTTATGAATTTCAGCTTTAATCTGTAGTTCAGTGAGTCCTGATTAAATATCTGTTAAACACAATTAAAGTTTGTTTTTGTATTTCACCGTCTTGATCAGAATAATTAGAGACTGCGTGTTTCATGTCAAAAGTAGCAAGAGGAATTTTAGTGAATGAACATCGTTTTTAAAAGCCATTTGTAGCACCAGCTGTTGGCATTATTTTATATTTTAGTGTTATCAGCATAAAGATGGTCCTCTGGATGCTGAATAGTTTCCAGCAGGACAAGGATGTTAGGCTGTCACGATGGGCCTGTGCTACCGAGGCATCAGTGTTGGAGGGCTCGTGTTCACAGGAGGTAGTGGACAGGGGAGATGTAGGTCAGGGAAGCAGATATTTGAGGTGAGGGAGGAAGAAAGACATTTGAGTTACATTTATCCAAACAAGGAGCTGAAAGAGAGGATTTCTCATGGTGTAGTCGTTTGTGTTAACACCTGAAAATGCTGGTTAGCCTAGAGACAGGTTGTCTATATGTAGTGCCCGAGGGAAGGGCACAAGAAAGGTGTGATGAGCTATGCTAGAACTCTGTCCTCATTGGCTTTTGGCTAAAAACCTGGATCTTTTATTCCTGGAGTTGATAGAAGGTAGTGCTGAGAGAATTTACCATCCTAATCATTCTTTGGCTAGGGATAGCAGTATGAATTCTGCAAAAAGGACAAGTTGGAATCTAAGAAGGATTAACTAAAACTGGGTAAAGGAGCAAAATAAGACTCTGCAAACCAAAACTAAGACTATGATTTCCACATGCATGTGCCAAAAGGGAAGCTGGGGAGTTGTAAATTACTATCTCTTAAAACTTATGCGAGGGTATATGTGAACACTTCTATGCAGCTTACCATGATATGAGCTTTAAAGAAATAAAATAGTATCTTGCTTGCTATGTGAAATGTTGATCCTTGTGATTGACAGAATGATAACCACCCCCCCCAATACTAATCCTCAGAACCTGTAAATGGATACATTGCCTTTCATGGCAAAAGGGACTTTGCAGGTGTTAGTTATGGATCTTCAGATGGGAAGATAACTGCAGATTATCTGGGCTCCTAATATAGTCCCAACAGCCCTTATAAGAAGAAGGAAGCTGTAGGGTCAGAGTCAGAGAAGATGTCACGATGAATCAGAAACTGAGATGGAAGATGTGGCACTGCTGCCTCTGAGGAGGAGGAAGGGCCATGAGCCAAGGCATGCAGGCTGTGTGTAGAAGCTGGAGAAGACCGGAAATGGGGACTCTCCTCTGGAGTCTCCAAAAAGAGTCTCCTAGCACCTTGATTTAAGGACTTCTGACTTCCAGAACTGTAATTATTCCTGTTTTGTAAGCCATAAGCAGCAATAGGAAACCAATATAAAACCCATGAATCTGCTCCATGGATTTGATCTCCATGTAAAAGTTGTCCAGTTAAAAGTGAATCCAGGGATGCAAAAAAACAACCAGCTTCTATGAATCTCATCTTCTAAAGCCCATTCTCCAGGCTGTCTCCGTGGTGTCACTTGGAGGTAGCTGCCTAGGTATTATCAATTAAATTCTTGGGCAAATTCAACCCTATCCCCTAACACCACTTACCAATAATACATTCCTCATGAGTCGAAATATTTACAGGAAGGGAAGACTATAAAGTGAAAATAACTTCTCCAACAGCAATAGCAGTTGACATTTGAACACTTAGCCACAGGTTGAACTATTTCACTTTGTCAATTTCCACCTCCAGAAACAGCAATTTCATATGGTTCAACATACCCTGTGTTACCTCATTTAAACCTCTAGGACTAAGATTAAAAATCTCTCCCAAGATTGTAAAATTAATAAATGTCAGGTTTATGTAGAGGTTAGGCTAATAAAATGCTTATGTCCAACATATTCTGTTAAAAATGAGATTAAATCCCAACTGGCCAAAGGTGTTTCGCAGAGTTGAGGATGCAAACATGTATCTCCAGTGCTATTCCAAAAAGTAATAGCTTGAGTCATGAGAAAGTTGTAGGGTAAAGTGAACATAACCCAAATAGATGAAGACAATGATTGAAATTTGCCACCTAACATCTTTGTATTTTAAAGAGCATATACTACCACAGAGGAAGATGGCATAGCAAGTGTTTTTGAATGGTATTGCCTAAAAGGCTTTCTAGCTTCTTTTAGTTTAAGGCTTCCACTAATAATCTCATGAAAACTGTGAACCCTCTGCCCACAAAAGGACAGCATCTTGTCAAAGGATTCACAGGCCCCCTCAAGCCTATTGACGGACCTCAGATTAATTATGCTTGGTTTACAATTGTGTTCCAAGAAAAACACTGTGGGACTGTCTGGTCTGACATGATGTAAGACATAATTATGTGATACTTAATTTGCCACATGATTTTGGACCAGTCATCAATGTACACTAAGGTCCAGGCTTTTAATTTAGTAAATTAGTACTTTTGATGCTAAACTGATAGGCAAGTACATTTTTGTTTTTGAGACATTGGAGGTGTATTGAAAGACCGGCTGAAAAACACTGGTATTGCTCTTGCTTGCTGTCCATTCTTTTATCATTTAGTCATTTATTCATTCATTCAGCAAATATTTGTTGAGCCCTTACTGCTATACGCACTAGGAATATAATAGTGAACAAGACTTACAAGGTCTTCTTTCCTCATGGAACATTCTAGTTAGAGGAAGTAGTTAATAAATAGGTAAGTATAAGATGCCCGAAACTGAAGATAGCAAGCAAGTAGTCTCATGGCCAAGTAATATATTGTCTCATAGAAGATTTGAGATTATGTTGAGCAGCCAAGAGAGCAGAAACATTTATAAAGTATAGCATCTTTCAGGTTTTTGGTTGACTAAAGGATTGTTTTGACCTAAAAATGTTCTTCCTGAGAGGAAGAGGAAAAGGAGAAAGAAATCTGAGCACAGTCTAATATTGGCAAATGAAGCAGTTATGTGGTAGGGAGAGTATTGTTAAGGTAACTGAGAAAGTCACCAACAATGAGGAACCTCAATAGATAAGGGTGTTTTTGAGAGTTTGGGCCCATTTCACTAAGGTTCATTACAAGTCTGCTTTGCCTTCACCTAAGGCGAGCTTAAGATCACTAGTTTCATGAACTCTTTTCGCCCCTTTTAAATGTGGGCTTAGGGGCACCTGGGTGACTGAATCATTTAAGCATCCAACTCTTGATTTCAGCTCAGGTCCTAAAATCGAGTCCCATGTCTAGCTCCACCCTCATCACAGAATTTGCTTGAGATTCTCTCTCCCTCTCCTTCTGCTCCTCCCCCTGCTTGTGCTCTCTAAATAAATAAAATAAAATCTTTTTAAAAACAAAATAAATGTGGATTTAAATGTCCTTCTTCTTACCACCATCTCCCCCTCAAAGTAGTCCATAGAGAAGGTCACTACAGGGATTAGGAGCAAATGTAATGTAACTTGAAAAAACATTAGGAAAGGAAGAAATCCTGTTGTTTATAGGTGCTTCCCAATAGAATTAAGAGATTAAGTCCAGGAGTAGAAATTTGTGCAATGTATTGGGGCTTCAGTGAGTCACCAATATTACTTGAAAGAAGTTTAGTTCAGTTATACTTTGCCAACCAGCTGAAATCCTTTAATAAATGGTGAACTATAATAAATACACCCAAAAATAAAAATAGTGATGTAGTGTTAGTTTATGAACAACTTATTTTCACTAATAAGCTGGAAAATTATATTAATCATTGCTCAATGACATTCATAAATAATGCAAATTGGTAAAATATGCAAGTATATATAAAAATGTATCTGAAAATCATTCAAAAGGCAAGGGGCAGGAGACTTTTCCAACGGGCATTCCTATGAGACTATAAGTTATAGCTTCAGGGTTAAATGTGATGAGGTGAAAAAACTGCCCTAGAGTGAAGGGTAACCAACCGAAAGTGATGCTGAATTTCATAATCAGAGTTCCTAGAATGAATATAATGCAAATTATATTTCCGGGGGAACAGGAGTGTAATAGCTGTATATGGAGTATCTGTATTCCACGGACCAGAAACAATTAGATATTATATTTGAAAGACCTGTTGCAAAAATACAACATACAAGGAGTTTATGTTAAGTGGAGGCTTAACAAATGGTTATTGCTGTTGTTGTTTGCTGTTGTTGTTGTTTTAATTAAAGTTGAAATCCTGTAATAGAATTTCCTGCCCTTTTGCCATCTCAGGTCTTTATGCTATTTTAAACCCTTCCCTCCCTCCAGTTCCCAAACTGCCCTTTCTCTGGGGAACAGAATATAAATTATCCTATCTAAATTTCAAGAATGACTATTCCCACGTGAGAGAATATCAAAGCTGAGAAGAGAATACAGAACTCTTAACAACCAGTACTATTCATGCCAGCTCATCTGCTACCTCCTAATAAAACTGGTTGTTAATCTTCCCTGATTTGTCTACATCTTTCAGGTAATAAAAGTGTCTAAACCATAATGCATTCTTCCAGAGAAGATAATCAGGTAACTTAATACCTCTCTGCTCAGCAACACAATGTCCCTTTGTATCCAGTCCTGAATTGGATTGACATTTCTAGCTGACGCTTTACATCAAAGGTCATTTTGCTCAGTTCACTATCTGATCTTTTTTATTGTCTTCTAGCATATTCCTAATTCTCAAAAAAATTTCTCCATCTCTGGCAGTATAACTGAGAGCTCCCAATTTCATTATCTCATTGGTATATTTCATTAATTATTAAGATCTCTCTAATTGGGAGTTTCTCTTCCCAAGAAAGTGTCTAAGTCTCATCATTAGAGATATTAATAAGCAGAATTTTGTGGACACCCAAAGTATAGTTAAGTTGGGCATAACCCTGAACTGCCAAGGGAACAGAGATCTCCCAAGTACGAAAGCTCCCCAAACTGTAAGGATTTTCGTAAGAGTGATTCATTACTTGGTAAATTTTCTTAAAAATGGGATGAGTCAATGTGAGAAAAAGATTTGGTTCCCTTCATTTATTTATC